ACACAAAGCCAGTTAGGGTGAATTTTATCGTAAGAATATTTTAGTATCTTGACCCCTCCTCCCACCTACCCACCCCTTAATCAAACAATCAAGTTACATGTCTTAGGGTTGGGTAACAAGGGGCCTTACATCATCATGAGGGTAGTTCGGGTCATGGCACTTCTTTAATGGTTTTTCAAGGTCGATATACTCAATCATCAAAGTATATTAAATGATTGTAACAGTCAGAAGGCAACAGTGATGAAAGACATCTTGAGGAGTCTAATAGATTTATCTGGTATATTCCTCAGTGTCTCTAGTTAAGTCAAGCTAACAGAATGGAATTGTGGATTTGTTTTAATTTTTAATCAAAATTTTATCTTAGTTATCTGAAGTTGTTATTTTCCTTATTCGTCGAAACTCAGTTATTATTAATTTATGAACGACTGATAAAAGTCTCCACCAGTAATACAATGAGTGGAAGACGTGAGTTGTTTATTAGATATGCAAATTGTTGGAATGTCGGCATAAACAGAAGTCGTTTTACAATCCTGAGACTTCAAGCTGCTGAAAAAAGTCTCCAAACTACTTGTCCTCCCGCTTTGGTGTCTCTTCTGGGTATGGTACAGCTTCGAACAGGAGTATCAAGGACCTATAGTTCATGATTGTATATACATTTAAAGTTAAACATGATAATAATAAGTACACAAACTTCACCATACACTCGTAAAGTAAGCAACAGTTCGGTATACACTGGCGCCATCACGACCAAACCAACAACGTCTTACAACATTTACTCACACACGTTCCACCTCCCTGCGTCACGGTAAACTTGCTTTAACCACAGTCCCTATAGAGTTAAGGTCAGAGAACTCATCAACCATCGACTTAATAGCTTTTTTTTTTTTTTACTTTTGTTACGGTACTGTAGCCTGTTGGTGTCTACGGTCAGCCCCAGCTCAACCATCCAGAACCCGCCGCTTCCATCTGTCACACCTCTATCCCCACCCCGGTACACGCAAACACCCACCTTTCTCCCTCCTAGTATACCCAGACCCGTCACCCAGCATGAACAGTCCCCCAGTTCCTCAGAAAACATCTTTACTTTATCCGTCTTTACAATTTGAAACAATGGATGAAATATTTTGAAATCTTTATATGTTGGTATGCCTGCTCCCCACACCGATAAAAGTATTCAAATTTACACAAGCAATGTATTTATAAAATATATATAGGAATAAAACTTAAATTATTAGTCATTTTGAAATTCAGGCAGTTCTCAGCACCAGAAAATGTGAGCCACTTACTATAGGTAATGGTCGAGTATACCAACCGCCCCATAACTAGTGGACTAACACTGCTCATAAAACCACGAACCACATCACCCCATAAATAACACTACTTTTATTGGGACTGTACATTATATACCACATCAACACATACATATACTGTACTATCCCTAGCTCAACTTCCACCCGCCCCCTCCACAAGTTCCACCCGCCCTCTCCACAAGTTCCACCCCCAATGGCCTGTTGTTGAATGGATTCATTACCCTGCAGCAGATGACTTAGTTTTTTTGCACAAGATATTTTTTAATTGCGACGTTAACCTAATTCCCGAGACGTTGAGGGGATGTATCAGGTGTTATAAAGACATGATAATGATTTTCAGCCTGTATAGACACCACACACACACACACACACACAGCACGTACTGATTGCTATAAGAACAGCCCAGTCCCAACCACTGTAAAATTATCAACAAATCGTAGTCAACCAGTGCATTCACTCCCAGTCAATCTTATTTTTTGCACTGTCAGTATGTTGAAATGCCCTGTAGTGAACCGTCTCCCCATCTTGTTATTATATATCATATTTCTATCAGTAGTGTTACTAGTACAGTATATTCGTGGTAGGTAGTAGACAGCTACCAAACAGGGAGGTACTACCGCCTGAGAAGATATTGGAAGTATAATGTGTTGTCTAATGGTAGACCCTGCTGCCATATGGTATCACAAAAATTGTGACCAAGTCCCAGGTTGCTGATCTGACTTTCTGCCTCATTTACACACAACTGCAGAGTTTAAATTGTTTCTCTACTTTTGACAACACAACATATACTGTATACTGTCGTTTCTCACTATTGATTTAATTTTTATTTTTTTTATTTATTTATTATTATTATTGAATTTTTGCCCTTTAGGCCCTAATGTGGGTGACCTGTGCCCGGGTGGACTAATTCCCGTAAAAAAAATAAATAAATAAAAAAATAAAAAATAATTAAGTGATCCATTCCCAATCATATTTTCATCATTTCGGTTGTCACTTTCTTTCAATAAATCGAAAATTATTATTATTATTATTAACTATTACACCCACGCACACCCTCTCTCACACACCTGATATGACTCACTCTGATATCACACTTCAGGAATCTCAAACAGCTCAGACTGAAGGACGTCCACTAAAGCAGGTTTGAGGAGGAGGAAGGAGGAAGGATGAGTGGTTTATAATTAAAGATAAAAGTGACGACGTTAGCTGAGACCAGATGTAAACAAATCTGAAATCCTCTCTCTCTCTCTCTCTCTCTCTCTCTCTCTCTCTCTCTCTCTCTACATTCAGCGTCCACACACGTCTGAGCACAAGGGCCAAACAGAGTCGATATCCTTTGTGTCTGCCTGACCGATTATAAAAAAAACAAAAAAATAAACCAGACGGGAAAAACCAGCTCACCGCATCCCTTCACCATCCTACACGGGAGTTAACACCAACACCAACAACATTAAACGGAAATGCCAATCCTGGAATTAAAATATAACTGTTAACACTCATGGTTACCAGATGTCCGTTGTTTTGTTTCTTTCTACAACACACACACACACACACACACACAAACACACACACACATTTACACACATTACGTTGGTCTATATACTTTAAATTCTTGCAAAGTTAAAGCTGTTGATAGTACTACTGTCATTCACACTACCAAATATAATATCATGTGTATGTATGTATGTGTGTGTGTGTGTGTGTGTGTGTGTGTGTGTGTGTGTGTGTGTGTGTGTGTAATATTCTCCTAAAAACGAACTAAAATACCGTATACTTTCATCTTTTTTTTTTAACATCATCAAAAGTGCCACAAACTATAGTATTCAAACAAGAGCCAAATAATATAAAAAAAGAAGAAATATATACGAAGAGAAATCAATCAACACAAATTATTATTCAATTGTAAACAGATCTCGTCTCCCATACCACATAAAAGGTTTCTCATTCATGTAACATAACGTGGATATCAAGTATTGTGTAAGGCGTTAATAAGGTTCTCCTTTAGATGATTATATTTGATGAGTTAAGCATATGGGTAACTTCCCGTTGGTTGTCCGGGTGTTGGCGCCGAGTGAGTTCTTTTAGGAGGTAATAATTTATAAGCCCTGTAGTCTTAGCCTCCTGACCTTGTAGATACACTCATGATCAGTGGAGTCTCAGAGGACCACGTAGGTCTTTGTTTTCCTCCTTTCCTCCTTGCGTTAGTAAGTGGATGATTTTAACCGAAGCGCCGTTAAACATTCTCAAAACTTACATCCTTATTGTCCTGACACACTGCATTAACATCATTAGAGGAAAAAATTACACAAACATTCAACATTAACTAGATGTGTACACTTAGCTCCCACGTAAAGGATGAATGCAAACACGTAATTGTAAACAAAATCATTAAATGAATTAAATTTGATTTTTTTTTATTATATCTTTCACAAGTAGTTTGCCACTCTCTCAAGGTCTACCCTCAAGAGGTATTTCTTTACGCTTACTTGAATGAATTTATATATCGTGGTGTTTAAAAAATTAGTGAGATGGTATCACTACTGTCAAGGGTGTTGTTGTTTGCTCGAGGGTGAAGGCCAATACGTTCACTTTTGTATAAATGTCAGTTGATTATCATTCTAACCTAACCTAACCTAACCCCAAAACCTGAATTTATATATTTAGGTTAGGATTGTTCTCTCGGTTGCTTTAACGGCGATTAATAAATTATCACTATTATCACTGCACCTAAAACAAAACAAATATTTGTAAATATAAACAACAGATACACTTGATGATTTGTTCTACACAAAAAAATAACTTTAAGAGTTGCCGGAATTAGTTAAAATGTTTGTGGTGTGTGTATGAGAGGGAGGCCGTCTGTCCGTCCTCACAACACTCACAAGATCTTCATAAAATCTTAATGAATTCTGAAGGAAACAAAACAAAACGTATGAATAGTTTACAAATATCTTTTTCTCGTTAATTTTCTCCTGTATATGACCGAATATTAATTCTTCAAACGCCCATCTCTCCTGCTTGAGTTACCTGATAACCATAAACAGTATATTAATATTTTCAGAATTATTATACAAACGAGTGGGCGGGGAGTGGGGAGTATTCTCGTGCCTCTGGAACCTATCCAGTGACGCGAGTAAAGACGTCATAGGTGCGTCACAGCGCCGCCCACACTGCCCACACACCATCACCATAGTTACTATTATTTTGTTTCATTAATGCACAAAATTAATGTCCTTATGTTGATAACGTATAAGACAATAAAACTGGTCGACATTTAACAAGGAGGTGTGGCTCACACCTGAGGAATAAGGTTGACGTGTGCCATATGGCAGCAGGCAGTACTTCCAGCCCACACGGCCCTTAACACCACCATAGTTAATTATCACAAATAATTACTATTTTACTGACAAAGGTCATCACAAAAATTGTATCTAGTTATTTTCTTTATTTCGAACATTTATAATTTGATAAGACCATCCGTTCACAGGTGTGATCGCTTACAACATATGATTACTCCCTGGCGCTTCCAAGACAAGAACTGCTAACTAACATGTTGTATGCTGAGGAATACTACACATGTCTAACATGTTCATCAGAAATAACATACTGTACGCCTTCAGAAAACCACAGGACATGCCCTCACTTGTTGTTAAGATAAAAGACCACTTTGTAAAACATGCCAAGACTCACCCGCTCAGGCTTCACGTGAGGCATGAGGAGAGGGAATTTCTGGAGGGTTTCCGCGGTGGCTATTGTGGCCGTCACTCCCAGCAGGAGGACGACGAGCACACCCGTTCGCGTTGCCATCTTGCCTTCAACTGGTGGCCGAGCACCCCAGGCCTCAGCGCGTCCCCAGAACTCCAGCCCCGTCCCACTAGCGACACCTGCCTTGCGCAGATCAATAGCATCACTACACCCCTCCCGAACTTTACGCCAACGCACAAAAATTTCTTCGTTGTATCCTATTTCGTATATTATGAAATGGTGAAATAATTAAGACACCTTTATACATCATTGGAACATAAAACAGGGATAAAGGACTGAAAGGGAAGATAAATAGATTTTTTCGAGATGACTGAGTGACGACGTGTGTTGTGTTCAGGCAGGTGTAACAGGTGACGCCTCTTACTTAATTACACTCATATGTATAACTGAGTCTCGCTCTCTCGTGATTTCTCCCGAATTCATATTAAAACACTTCATAAATTGACACAACTATCAGATAAGCCGTCATGGAGTGTAGAGTGCCTGTTTAATACGTGGGTGTCATGACAAATTTGAGTACGTGTTTTACTGCACGCACCTCCGCGGGCCTCCAGACCTGTGGGAGTAAACACGTGTGCCAATTTAGCTTATCTTAATAACATAACTGATAGTATTATCTAAGTTAGCTTAAACATTACTCGTGTTTTAGAATAGTACGAGTCATTTAGAAGTATATGTTAACGAGAAAAACAATTTGACAGCTACATGGGAACTCGTTATCTCAATATTGACAACGAGGAAGCCGTGATGAGACGAGGGAGTGATTGTAGGTCACGTCGAGTAGTGGAACTCGATCAGGTCATGACTATTATTGCAACACACAGCTCACCTCAGGCAGCGAAGATTGACGATCAAATTGTGCTGTTTACTAGCTGAATCATCTCAGGTCATGGAACTTGGCACTCAGGTCACCTCAGGTCATGCAAATTGAGTCAAAATGATACAACTCATGACATTTGACTGTCAGATCACATGTTATGGAACTGGAGAGTCAAACAAGGTCACCCATGTGTAAGAGAGGACTCCACCAATGACATTATGGTTGACCAGGTTACCGCCGTTGCATATTGACAAATCGCTTTACATCGGCTTGAAAACATTCTGAGGAATTCCATGCAGTGTCTCGGAGGAGTGACGTGGATATTTCCTCCTGTGATACTGTGAAAACTCTATATAACGGACCTTAACCTAACCTAACCTACCCTAACCTAACCTACCCTAACCCTAACCCTACCCCTACCCTACCCTACCCTACCCTAACTTAACCTCATCCCTGCAAATTGTGTTAAAATGGTTGGTTAATATTTAGGTGAAATAAGCTAAGATGGAGATTCTTCAGGTAATCCGAAAGATAAAGATAACTGGAGAAAGTAAAGTTGAGGCCGAAAATATAGTTGAAAATAAAGAAATTCGTGAAGAGTGACGCTAACATACAGAACAAGGTAATGAACTGGAAAATGCAAAAGTCACGAGAGAAAATGTGATTTGGTGTTCCTGAGATCCAAGTGACGAGGATGACGAGGATGTGATTTACAGTTCTCGGGGGAGGAGGAGGACAGAGGAGAAGGAAAGAGTTTAGAAATCACGTAATGAGAGAGTAATGTACAGAAATTGCTTTTGGGAGCATTTAAACAAACACACACACACACACACACACACACACACACACACACACACACACACACACACACTACCAAATTAAGCTATAAAGTGACAAGTGTTTACATATACTAATTCCAAGTAAACAAGACACAGGAAAATATTATCAAAGATAGTAAAATCGAAGCCATCACGAGCCTCTAAGATACTGTCTTGATAACACAACTACAATATACTAAAAGATGATTATTTAATACCAGTAACTTCCCTCACCTCCATCACATAGACATTGACCAGGTAAAAGGAGAGAGCATTTACAATAACTTTGATCCTGAGATTATATGATAAGTTTATCTATTACAAATACATCATATATTATGTTCCTTAGTGAGTTCTTGTATAAATCGTAATTATTGAGAGTTAATTGAGAACGTAGCTTGTGTAATTCGGTAAACTGATAAACCTGTAGACATAAATTTTAACATTCATGGGAGGATTTTTCCGCGTGTATTAGTTGTCTGACAGGAGGAGAGAGGGTGTGTGTGCGTGTGTCATGTGATAACTAAATATATAATTAGGGTGTGTTTGTGTGTGGGGGGGGAAGGTGGTAGGGTGCGAGTGTGTTTGGGTGATGACTGTGGTGTTTGTGGTTAGTATGAGGAGGCGAGGATGTGTGATGACTGTGATGTGTCATGTTAAAATTGATGTCCAAAATCCTCATGAAAACAAACCTCCTAGAGAGTCAGTCCTAGACTTCCACAATGAACCTCAAACCAGACTGGAATCACAACCATCTCTTTCACTGGCCAGAGCTGAGGTTTTGAGACCCAGGAGAGCTTGTGTGGCAGAGAGAGGAGGAGAGCTAGGGAGAGGGAGAGAGAGGTGGGAGAACGTTATAATGACAAGTTCCATCTCGAGTGTATTATTATAATTGACGTATTTGACCCCAGCTGGAGGACGATTTAGTGGTGAGATTCAATGCAGATTAAGAAAGACTTCGCCATCCATACCAGTGACGCCAATGTATGGAGAAAGTGGTGAGCAATTCGGGTAGAGGAAGAGGATGTAGAGAGGGAGGAGTGATCAGATAATTGTTCAGGTGGGGAGACAGAGACAGTGTGAACAAGAGGAGGTGAGTGGTTCTGGAGAGGATGAAGCGTACTTGATCTGTAACCAGAACAGTCACGGTGCTGGAGCGTTTCTCTACACGCCCCTGGTCGCCCCGCATCGCCCCGCCCGTCCCGCCCCGGCCCGCCCCGCTTTGTTCTAATGGTGTTGTTTTGAAATCACTGTGACGTACCCCAGCCCAGGTGGGGAATTAGAGCGTCCAGGGCGGGGATCGTGCGCCACGTTTTACTCGTGACCTGCCTTCTCGACCTGAGTTTTACAGCGTTATGCTTGTGGTCTGTGATGTGTTACGTGTGATCCGTGACAAGATGACTTTTATGTGGGTTCCGTAACATAGCGTTTGTTTTGCGGGCTCCGTGACGGGAGTTCTATAATGCAAACTCCGCAACGTAAGCTTCAGACACGAGTTCCTTGAGCACCGTGAGCTGTGAGTGGAGGAGGAAGTAGTGTCTACAATTCACATAACGGCCCGTCGCCCCGCACACCTCAAGGCCCTCAGCACCAGACTTTGATCACTCGCTAGGTCAACGGAACCAACTGTGGTGACCAATGGCCCGGAGTAAACCATAACGATAATAATAATAATAATAATAATAATAATAATATATCACAGTACAAAGTGTGTGTGTGTGTGTGTGTGTGTGTGTGTGTGTGTGTGTGTGTGTGTGTGTGTGTCAGCGCCATAATTCTAAGACTCTGAAACCTACAGACCAGAAACTTTGCATGAATATTAACTGATGTGGAAGCCAAGGTCGGGATTCACACACGGTCCTACGATGAATATTTCTTGTAAGTGGAGATATTTTCATGCACCTAACCTAACCTAACCTAAATTTATAGGTTAAGTAAATGAAAATTCCCATGTGATCGAAAATTTAAAAACTAGGATTTTATTTCATCAGCTTTTAAATCGATAAACCTAATTTTCTGAGTAATATAAGAAAAATTAAAATCCACATTGAAATTTATACCAAAACTGAATTTAAGGGAAAAGGGTTTTGTCTTCTAAGGAGGCAAAAGGACTTATGTGACAAACCCTTGAGAGTCTGGACCTAGAGAGAGGGTCAACCTGTAGGTGATGGAGGAGTCACTCAGGGGGTCGATACCTGGTACTACCTCACTTTCACATGTCACTTATTATTACTATGATAGTGTGACACTCGTATCAACCTCTCCCTCCTCCTCCTCACGCTCCTCCTCCTCCTCCTCACGCTCCTCTTCCTCTTCCTCACGCTCCTCCTCCTCACGCTCCTCCTCCTCCTCCTCTCCCTTCCACTCCACCACTCAGTCTGTGTTCGAGGGCTCACGATGTGTTCCAGATGAATTCCTTTTCCAATTAATTTTCTTATACTAGCTCGGTAATTCACTCGTAGTTCATGTGTGATTTGGTCATTAACGTAAACTGTCCCTTTCTGTCAAACCCACGAGAGAAAATAACAGATACGAAAGAGACTCTGGCTAACTCGTTGCTTATTACCAAAGGGGAAAACAGTAACGTGACCCAGATACATTACTTGTCTTCACGATACATTGTTCAGGGTAATAACGATACTAATTACGGGTTGACTGCGGCGCTTTCTCTACTATACCTCGATCTACCAATGGTGAGGGTTGTAAGGCGCAACACACACACACACACACACACACACTGATCACAATAAGGAACTGGGTGGTCAGAGAAACCACAATAACGAATTACTGAACTACTTACCTGACCATGAATACACATTAATGAATTACCTTTCTGCCTTCAAATATCCTTAAGAAAATGCTTTGCCACTTTTCTTACCAAGTATTTGATGAAAATAGAGAACTTTTATTAATCTGTTGATGTATGAGAGTAAATTAGAGATGAGTTTTAAAGAGTCAATAATATCTTCAATTTCTTGGTATCTGTTTGTCATAGGAACTAAGGCCTTGGGAATGAGCCTGGTAGTTGAAGCATCTGACTGGACAAAGAACAGCAACAACACCAGACGTTATCCATCGTATTTATAACACAGAGATGATGGGGTGAACTCTTTATTGCATGCCAGACTAACTGTTCTCGGTCAGGGGGTAATAACAACTCCACATTATGACTGTGATTATCATTTATTCACACTCATTAACTGTACAGTTCTCAAAATAGCTAAAATATGGTCATCCTGGAAAGAACATTCCCAAAGTAGTCTGAATATTAAGTTCATGTGTGCTAGTCACGTGACGCGCAATACCAGCAGTTCTTGGACCTCTCAGGCCACACCCGAGGAGCCGCGTGTTACCCGGGTCTGTTGCCTGCTACACGCTGCCCGAGACATGGTGCCTGAGATATGATTTATGAGCCCTATTGTGCAAGACACTTTGTCTACTATATGTTGTTTTCTCATGCATATATAAATATATATATATATACAGTTTAAAACTTGTTTTGTTTGACATGTTACTTGAACATGTTATACAGTACATATTGTCTACAATATGTTGTCTGTTTCTGGCATGGTGGGTTATAGAAGGTGTAATAAACTCACACACCGGCAGCGGTCATCAAGGCCGTCCAGAACTCTGGCATTACAATCCTTGAAAATGGTGCATCAGTAGAGCAGGGAAAACCTAAGTAAATATATATGAGGATACAAAATTAAAATTCAGTCTAATATTATAACTAGACGTGACGAAGCAGTAAGAGACCAGCTGCCTAGAGTAACACAAAAATAATAACAGACAAGAGGTGAGAGAAGGGCGCTCACGGTACCACCATTATCTGGTGTCACGCTGCTAACAGCCAAACAAATTTATCTTGCCAAATTACAGAACCTTCTGTTCTGGTCTTATTTTTGGCGTCAAAATGCTGGCAATGATGCAATGCTACTTTGTCTATTCGGACAATGACATATTTTTACAAAAATGTTAAAAATGGCATTATTTTCCCAAGTGAAAATGCTGGCAAGAAACAAAACAAATTTGATGCTATGATGCTGACAAATGATGCGTGTTACATGTACCAAAATTGTTCAGTTATTTCTTGACACTTTCTGCCTCAACATCTTCAGACGTCAGCGGACAAAACACCATCAAAATAGTCGAGGCTTCCAAGCCAGTAAGACATAACAACCTCAGATATGTACTTTGAAAATTCCTCCTCGAATGTTCCATCTAACTCACGTAACTCAAAACTGAGAACCACAAGACAGATCGAGACTGAAAATATGAAGAGCGTTCCCTGTCATACTCCGGGTGTAGCGCGCCAGGACCCGAGTGTCGGGCACTCAGGAGGACCCTGGCGGAGGTACACATGGGACCGTGGTCACCAGAGACACTCAAGGTAAGACTAACACTAAAGACCAAATGTTGGTAGCTGTTGGCAGTTGTTGTCAGTTGTGCCGGTGAGTGTAAACTCCACAAAAAAAGTCTAAGAGCATCTTCAGCAGCTGAACCTCGGAGATACAACTGGCTTCATGCAGCACCCAGACAGGGCTGGTCCTCGTGTGGAGGGACCTTGAGTGTGTCCTCTGACCCGGCTCGAAGCGTCTCCTTGACTTGGCTACATAAACTCCTTTAATACAGAATAATCATACCTACAGTACCTCACTATCATCTACAGGAGGACAAAAACTTTGTCACAATAATTTCTTAAACATTTTCTTAAAATTCAGTTTGATAATATGCTATTCTGTCAGACATTCTTGGCTAGCATTAATTCGCAAAAATATATTTCAACAGTACAATGTTATCCACCTGAACACAAAGAATATAACGGACAAGCATTCTTGGGGATAATTATAACCTAAATTATAAAGTCTTCCAGCAACTGCGGGTGATCCTTCCCCTCTACCATCCACCATGGAGTTGATCACTCGCCCAGTCCACCGAGAAGCGGAGCTCATGATATGCGTTATCCAGGAGAACCAATAAATGCTGTCGAAGTCAACCTTAAAAATTGTTCGTTAAGGCAAAGTCCTTACAGGCAAATCGCTTCGTTTTAAAGGCAAAGCAGTTCGTTATATTACAGACGTGATGAGAGCATAGTCCTAGGGCGGTGAGGTGGGTGTGTTGACAGTGGGAAGCAGCTCACTCGCCCAGCACGTCCATCATCAGCTTGTTGAAGAAAGCCGTTTGCGCAATCTTCTTCCTCCCACCGATAGCATTTGTCTGTAAGAGTACCAACATTAAGAACACCAGCAGTGACAGATGAATGGCATATGAGGTCTTCCTAACAGGTAAATGGACTCTCTCTTGACACCGGCAGACGCGGGACCGCGAGAACTAGCCCAGTGTCCCTCCACCAACTGGCCTAGTGTATGTGAGGAGCAAAGTTTAGACAATTATGTTTTTATCTCATCACAATTTAAATTACAAATTTATCTACAATATGTCTGGTGATCGGTTAACAATAAGTGTGTGTAAGAAGTCTCGGACATAATCACTGTTAAATATTTATCATAAGTGTGTTTATATTCGTGAAATAAATGAAAGGTTTGGGCACCTTTGTGAATATCATCGTGAGTAACAACTAAGAGTGTGTTGAGATCCTGTTCGAATTAATTATTCCCTGATACACTATACACACTATAAGAGGTCAAATATAACATAGTCCAAATACTCTGTACTATGCACTAAGTATTAATACAAGACTACAACAAAAATAAACAGTTTATCCACTCTGGTAAGTTAACCTGAAAAATAAATCATAAGTTCTACTAAAACAACCTGAAAGAACTAAAGCGAATGAAGCATTAAACTTAAATCCAACTATAAACCACAAAAAAATAATAAAGTATATATGAGCAAGAGAAGACGTGAGCCTCCCCAACAGACTGCACGGCCTACTGGCGAACACACCGAGCTACTGGGACTATGGGCGAGCATAGCGGAGGTGAAAGTGTGGAAGGTGTGGTGATACTCCTTGCTAATGGTTGCTGGATCTACCTGGTGGTGTTACCTCCGTGTGGCCACCAATAGGTTGACAGTGAAAGCAGTAGGTGACGCTAGCAACAGTAACAATGGATTCAAATGAACCAATAACCGACTTCAGTAGATGAATGCAATAAGTGACAAGAGCAAATTACTCCATCAAGTGATATCAGTAAGTGACGCCAGCAAGTGACACCAGCAAGTGGTACCAACAGGTTCACAAATTTCATTGGTAAGTGGCACCAGCAAGTGACACTAGCAAGTGACACCAGCAAGTGATACCACCAACAAGTTCACAAATTTCGTTGGTAAGTGGCACCAGCAAGTGCAGCATTATATATAGTGGAGGGGGTTGGGAGGACAGACCTTAGGGCCTCCTGGTCTACGTGGTGGGTTGTACGTCTCCTGTAGAAGGGCGTAGTCATCCTGAGGGAGGGGTAAGCTGGTCAAAGCTCCTCGACCACCTACACTCACCTCCTCTGTACAAAACACCTGCTACTCCCTGCCTCACCCCACAAATACTTTAACTCATAAGGTTAATAACTTCAAGGAGTTTACTGAAGGCATCAAGTGTGTGTGTGTGTGTGTGTGTGTGTCAACGATGGTGTGAGTAAGTGAACTGAAATAACTGGAGGAGTACGTCAGGGGAGTGTGTCATCACCCTGGTTATGTAATGTTTTTATTGATGGTGTATCACATAAAAATAGAAATGGGTGACTGTGGAAGTCGTCATTATTACTGTATACAGACGATGTTGTACTATTAATTATATCTGGGGGGAGAGACCGAGGTAATGGAGTATATTGTGAGGACACTTGTAGATAAAATACTTGACAGATTTCACTCCCCAATTCTGTCGCCATTTCGAAAGAAGAACATAAGGAAGAGGTTTCTTTCTTTTTCCACCATAATAACTGATGAAACGTCACATTGCATTGTAACTTGAGGGGCAATGAGGCAGTTGTTTGGGGAACAAACTCAGACTTCATGATGAATATTGTGCAATAATTTCCTGTGTGTGAAAGTTTCCCTAAATTCATTGTTATTATCATTTGCCCGTAACTAACACATAACTGTTTCACTTAAACTTTGTAAATTCCCCATCAAGACCACAACTTACCGATAATATTCAGTTTAGTTTTCATATCTCAGTTTATTCTTCAATATCGAATGTCTCCTTTATCACTTTGACAAATCTTAAAACTATATCATCAAGGCTTCATCACTAAACCCTAACTTTACACAAACTGTAGTTTAACCACAACAGCTTTGTTCATATTAATAAAACTTACTTCAAAGACAAATATATTTAAATATAAGATACCGTAAATAGTTAACAATACTGGGACGAACAACATGTAGAGTTCACATGTCTGAATATACTGACTAGTTATATACATTATATATATTATTAAGTGAAGTAACGATGTACATGTTAACAAGACTAAACGAGAACTCACCTCGTATATTGGAATCTTAACACGATCGGTGGTCATCTGGTCGACAGGTTTACTCTCAGCCAAGGCGGCGGAGAGGACAGCAGAAGGGCCCGTCTTGGGAGGACTCAGAAAACTCCGCGTCTCGCTGTCCGCCATCACCTCGTTGGCAGGTCTCATGGGTGGTGGCAGGAGCTCGGACACCGGCGACCGGGGCCCCGGTAGCGCATTGGTTCTGGCTGGTGGCCGCTGGCCTGGTTTAGGAGCTACGGGAGCTGTGTACACCTCGGAGTAGATAGGATCATGTTCCTTCAGGGCTGAGTAGTTTGCTACCTTCTCGGGGTCGATGGGGGCGTCAGTCTCCTGAAGCGCGCGCCAGGTGGCACTCGACTGAGGGTTATATTCTTTGGAAGGGGTGAGGATCACCTGCACGGGCTTGTTTGCGGGGGTGGGGGAGCTAGGCGGGAAGAAAAAAGGCGGGAATTATGCACGGGTTAGCATGCAACGAAATGCTCACCATTGAGTCAGGACAGTACATTAAACTTGAGACATTACGTTCAAAGACAAAGATCCATTAATATATTTGGTTATAAACTTGGTGACTTAGGGATCATCTGACAATCATCGCTCTAGTCATTATCTCCAAGGGAAGATTAAAATCAAATTGACAATTAGTGTCAAGTAGGGGTCGGCGCGTGCGCAGCTGCGCCTTCCTAGGGGTGTGACGTGGGTTACACAGTGCAGCGTAAATGGCTTTATAGACATCTATATATTAGCATGCTTTAGTGGTTAGGGAAGTGTGGGTGCGGTGCAAGGTGAGGGGAGCGGGGAGGCAGATTAGATGGAGTAGACTTTGGATTCAGTGGGGCCATGCTCAGTGATGAGCTGACAGTTCTCTTCCTCGTGGATGATCTGCCAGGTGGCGCTCTGCTCCGGGTCATACGTCAGGGGCATCCCGCGGAGTCCCATATGCTTCTGGGGCTTATTCACACTGCATATCCAACACCAGACACAGCAGGAAAGGCAGCCACGGCAGACAGCGGGGAAGCAGCCACGGCAGACAGCAGGCAGACAAACAGCCACAAAAGCCAAGAAAATGTAGAGGCCGGCGTGCGTCGTTTAACGAGGGGTCATATAACATGTGCAGGTGTCAACAGTGTATCGCACAGGCAGTGGTGAGCATCGGAAATGTGAGCCAGACACACAGTGTTGAGAGCAGGGAGGGGCAGGTAGAGGAGCACCACACGTTGACCCGCGTTGTAAAATAACACGAAAAAATAGAGAGTCCATCCAAAATATAAAGATGGGAATTATTATTGGTTATAAACAGCAAGGAAGCATGGGCCATTACCCAACATGCAAGCCCAGCCAAAACGAACAAGATGTAGCCACGAATCAGACAATATGACAGGCGAGGCAGGGAAGGTTAAGTCATCAAGCGAAGAGGATCACACAGGGTTAAGTGTAAGACGTGGATGTGGACCATGACGAGCGTGGCGTAGTGGTGGCGAGGGCGGCCGAGGTTGACACAAGTTGTTGCGGTTGACGGTGTTACAACATCCGTCAGCCACCGAGGAGGAAATAGAGAGTGACAGAAGATTAGTGAGTTGAGCTACAGCTGCAAGCGGGAAGTGCTGAAAAATCTACTTATGTGGCAAGTGTTATGTGTATTAGGTTCAGGGTGTCTGAGACTCACATTCCCTTCTGGTTGATGGGCGGGAAGGAGAATGTTGAGAACTAAGCTCCTGAACATAAGCCACACTAACCTTGCCACAAAATCAAAATGCATTCCTCTTTAATCATTATGACACAAACTAGTTTTGTTGGCCATATACATGTACATTATGCCCTAACAGTCGTGAGAACAGTGTAAGTCCTATACACTGAGCAGATAAAACATTCCTAAAGTTCTCAAGGTTATATCTAACAATATCTACACATGTAGACGATCACTGTGGCGTTTGGGGGAACTAGAAGCACACGATGGAGGACTAACATGCCCTACTGAACCACTCAACCCCACCAGAGCTCTAGTCCACTACCAGGGCTGTAAAGACCAATGAAACTGATCAGGTGGACTGGGTAGTTGATAACACATACAGTACATACACAGCCTAGGGTCTACAACATACTCCACCTAGGATAACCATACCCTCACTACCTCACTGAAACACGTGAAAACAGAGGTTCAAATAAAAGCCTCGTGTTAGAGATAAGAACCAAAATAATAATAATAATAATAAATGGGATAAATAATATTAAAACAGTAATTTGCTTATTAAACATAGATTAATTATTTTACCATACGTCCAGACACACGCCTAACGACCTCTCAGTGACCTCAGAGAACACAAGTCAAAGATAAAATTCTCGTGAACAATAAAGGAAGTTGATGGTGACACTTTCTTCATAGTAGTTAATGAAGGTAATAATTAACACTCGCATTAACGAAGAGGTGTAACAGGTGTATCAGGTAGACATGACATACCAACAGTCAGCATAGAGATGGTATATATACTGAAGATGCCTCATATTAGAGTAACTTAAGTGAGTTTCATTTAACATAACCATTGAAATAAAGTCATATATATATATATTAGTTGGCTAAATGAGAGTAAATTTAATCAATTGGATAATAGAACAAAACGGAAGGCAAGAATAGAAGAATAAAGATATAGAATAATAAGAGTGACATAACGGTAAAAATAAAAATAATTAATACTTTGAGAACACGTAGCTAGTATCAGTTAGTTATGACAACACGTTAATTACTCCAGCCGTCCAGCTAAGCATTATGACTCCAACATAATCAGTATTTGTGTTCGTGAAGGAGAGAGAGAGAGAGAGAGAGAGAGTCTATAATGAGAATGTTAATTTATATCACGTAACAGGTGACTCAGTGATGAAAGTATTAAGATAATAGATATATTTTACGTTTGTTCACACCTGTTGTCTTGAGAGAGGAGGTGCTGGCTACGTAACTCTATCTTTAATTCCATTCATAATTCTCTTTCACTATTTTAATACATTTTTTTGTTATCGATTATGGTCACTGTTTCTGAAGATTATTTAGTGTCCTGTAAAAAAGAAAATATCTTACAGTATAACTTAACCAGGAACTAAGTGCCTTCCCACTCAGCATGTTAAAGGCAGCAATAATATAGAATAGAATTTAACCTTATTATTAGAAAATCAAATCTGAATAGGAGCACCTTCGTTAACGGTAAGTAGGACAAGACGCCAGTGAATAATGTCAAAACACCCAGTCAAGCACACAGGCGTTGGAGAAACAACAACAAAACACTCGTCTCTCGGGGTTGGCTGGGGTAGGGTGGGAACACTTGAAGGAGGAACAAACTGAATAATTTGTCACAACTTATTAAGGTAAGTGTGGACATCTGTTAAGGGTACAGCAGCAAACAACACGGGGTCATTAAGCTTGCTATTTATTTATCTAGTACGTCGAAAATATGTTTATCTATATCTTACAGGGGTAGAAAAGTGACGTAGGGTTTTACTTAACATGGTTCTTGAGTTAAGGGGAATAACGAGACAGATGTTATATTTCGACACAAACATAAGACTTACGGTTTCAGTTGATATTCAGAGTACTGCTAAGAAGAAGAAAAATAATAGAGAAATAAAATATGTACTTCGAGAAAATCTGTGTTGATACAGTATGGATACACAAAAAAGTATTAATTGTGTGTATAAAAAATGGGGCTATTTTTACTGCCCGCCATTTGTGTCGCATCTCAGGCAGTGAACAGACAGGGGCTGCATCTTACCGAGCTACAAGCAGGTGAGGATCTCTCTTGATAGTCTAACACTCATGTTGACTCAATTCGCAAAACATAAAATATGAGGTAAATATATTTTAGGTTCAAATAGTGTCAGGGAATAAAATAAAAGTTTAGTGAAAGTCTTAACAGCAGGAGTTATTAGACGGACAGACAACAGGACTGTACACAGTGGTCAGTAAGCAGGACTGTTGACAACATTCTCAACACCACAGCAAAAGATGTTAAGCTTTCCAGCGATCACTGTCACAAGTGCTCGCCGTGACCCTCCTTAGCGGCGAAACGGTCTTGTTTCTCCCAATATTTACTTTGTCTCTGACTTGCTCAGGGAAAAACAGCTTAACTGTGTCTATTAACAGCAGAAAGTTGCAGAGACTCCACAGAGAGGTGATGGGCACAACCCATTTTGCTGGAAAAGCTCAAATCTTTGTTGAGGTTTAACTCACGTCTTCAAAGCTATGCTAGGACATCGACTTCATTAAAGCGGAAGAAATACAAGCATTTGATTTTCTCTGGAATCTCTGTAAACAGTTGTTCCCAAAGTTAGTTTGGCTAAACTATTCCTACAAGTCTAATCATTCCTGATCATTCAGTGCACGGGAAAATTTAGTCCACTTGCCTCACTTTTCTAAGGGCCTTGGCGGCATCAGCAGCAGCAGAAGAAGCAACCCTGAGAATTTCAGACGGCAGCGAGGCCAAGATTAGCTTAGCTGTTACGTCTACTGCTTATACTAAACACATTGTTAACAAAGCTGCTGCCCAGTACATTCGTAGCATTAGGCGAAAAATAAAAGAAACTTAGTTTCAGAAAAATAAAAACAGAATGAAAAAGACAGTAAAATAAGAGATTACAGACAAAACCTTTAAACTGTGTATAGAAGGCTGGTGTAAGAGACAACGTGCAGGGTAGGTTGGTAACGCCCGGATACCAGAGCTGGAGGTAGTGTCCACCACCCACCAGCCTACTGTTCCCTCTACCGGCACCAGGCGAGAGGGTGGCCATAAGGTGACCAGCTCTTGCCTGTCCTGGATGGAATCTGATCTCTTGTGTTTACAATTCGATTCAACAAAAATTTATTTCCATTTTTTTTACAGGACAAGTGAATTACTTTTGAAGATCTAAGTTTATTAGTTTAAAAAAATCTGGAAACTTAAGAAAATTAGAGAAAAATGAACCTCTGTTTCCGACAACTTCACCCCCTTCAAAAGTTTGGACGTGGTGAGATGAGAACTAACATTCCACAAGACACGAGAAACTCCCCCAGCGGTGCAACATGTGTCTGGCTTCCACTCCCTAAAACAACTATGAATAGCATCATAAAGACACACTCGAATTTTAGAATTATGTCCTAAATAAATTTTCATGGACTATCAAGATGTAAAGGAACCGAGGCTGGGTAGAATTCCCTGACGAATTCCTACATCGCATCCTACCTCCAAGTGGCTGTTGGGAGTGTCATAGTCTTGTTAAATGAACCAAGTGATGAAGATGACAGTCCACACGTAACTAAGAAGCCGCAAGGGTTTGGTTTGTGTCTGAGGAAAATTATCTAAAAAAAAAACCTTAAAAGCGCTTGTTGATTCAGCCACAAGTGTTGTCTGTCATTTCGATCAGGTGATTTTAATCTAACCTTTTTAAACTATCGATATATTTATAATATCAAAATGAATTAAACTATTTTCATAACCTTACAATATTCATCAATTTTATTCATTAAAAAAAATGGAAAAAGACAAGGGCATTTCAAATCCCTATTCATTACTGTGGCTGAGATGTGACCTTACCTGCCTAACAACTGACCTCCCTGCCTACCGAACTTATTACCACATATTAACTTGTAAAAACAAATCATAAAGTTGTTGAGTAGTAAAGCATACTAAGAGTACATCCAGATATAAGTTCCTAGAGTAACAACACAGTTCTAACTTGTACAGTACACATGCCCTGAGTTGGGTGGCGAGGGAGGGCGATCGATACTCACGGGTTGATGGTCGGTGTGTGGCTGGGGGACGTCTGCATCCTCATTGCCTCTTGCACATTCTCCTGGGAGTAGAGTGGTAGAGGGCTGTTGTACTGCTTAGTAACTAGGGTAGGGTTTGACGCTTGTGTTGCTGTGGTGAGAGACTGCTGTGTCTGTTGGATTTGTTGCAAGGTACCGGTAACCTGAAGGACAGAGAGAACGTTAGGCACAGTTCACTGGTGATAACGCAAGGTACAGTTATGTCTAGGGGAGATATCTGCTTGATTAAGGACTTTTAGGATAACTGACAGAGACATGGAAGTCAACAAATTATTGTATTAATCAATACTAAGAACTGGACATGTTGTGAGATTACAAGAACTCAATTTTTTGTATGATCTAAGTCAAGTTTGAGATGACTGCAGCTGTGTGACGGCCGGATTGACTCAGTGGGATTGTTCTTGATGCATTAGTTCTCTACAAGTCTACTTTATATTAACAAATAATAAAACAACAACATATTTGGTGAGCTGAATATATTATAATTATAAACTGTAGCAAATGGCAAAGAAATTAACATAAAAAAAATCTTAAAGCATTGCATTGTGAGCAGGCAACCAACCTACCATCTTTGTCACACAGGTAACTATGAAGGTGAGTCATGCATGTGTCATAACCATGTGCGTATCAGACTTATGTGTACCATGCCCCTACATGTTATACATATGTGTACCATGAGTGTGCGCACATAAATTTGTATAGATCATGCAAAAAAAAATATGGGAATTAAATGCACTCTGTACATGAAACAATTTGTCGTCTTTAGGCAGCACATGACAAACAACACACCGGTTTATTATGATGTGATGATGTGTGTTTGTTTGTGAGGTTCACCAGTCATCGCTGTACTCAGGTGTAAGGAATCACGTTAGCTTCAGTAGTTTTTTTTTTTTACATTTAACTTTCCCAAATGACAATGGCTTTTGACTGTGTAATCGATTAGACATTTAAGACATGACATCACGCACATCACCGATTTATTTCCTGATAATACATGAGGAGGTAAGTGAGTCTTTAGTAGATATAATTTAGTTCAAAATATAATTGTTTTTTTACTCAAGTTATCCCATTACTGTACATGCTCATAGCTCAGTGACCCAAGACCCGGTAGACTCAGGTCCCCGCCGGAGAGAGTTACCCCAAACAGTGTAGTGTGGCGGGAGTACAGTGCCTCCTACAACTAGACAAATGACTGTGGTTATACTTCCCCTAAAGTAACGAGAGTAAATAGTGATTATTGACGTCATCCGAGACAATGATAAGTTTTATCCACATTATAACTTCCTTCGAAGTCTGTTTATATTTCTCGAGTTAACACTTTCATAGTTGATGACGAATAACCTTTCTAGCATCCCTTGAATAACTTGACCGAGGACAAAACGTGAACTAAAATATGAAAGACTTCAACATATAAGACCCCCATCATTATCATCGTTATCATCTTTGTGCAGTACATTGGTGATAATGGTAAGTGTCTCGTGTCCTGAAGTCGTAACATCTCACTTAACCTAAATGAGCTGCATGGCACAACCTGCCTTGTTATTCTGATCAAATTCAGATTGTATTTTTTGGAACTCGGAGTGCATTTTGTTCCCGTCATCCGCCCTGTGATGTTGGTGCCGCCGAGATCGGTGTTGTCCAAGAGGGGAAGGGATGGGTGGGAGAGGAGGAGGAAGTGATCTGTAAGAGGAGTGTGAGGGGTGGAGGAAGCCTGACCTGTAGGAGGGGTGTGGGGGGAGGAGGAGGCTTAGCCTGTAGGAGGGGTGAGAGAAAATTTGTCCTGTGGGTGGGATGAAATAAGGAACTCTGCCCTGTGGGAAGGGTAGGAGGGGTAGGACTAGTTTGTCCTGTAGAAGGGATGGGAGGAAACTTGGCGTGAGGGAAAGGTGGGATAGGAGGAGAAAGCCTGACCTGTAAGGGGAATGAGAAAAGAAAGCATATACTCTGGGGGGTGAGGTAGGGGAAGGGTGGGGGAGGGGTGAGGTAAGGGAGGGGTGGGGGAGGATGTAGAGGGAGGTATGAGGGATGAGAGGAGTGGGAGGAGGAAGGTGGTTGTCCCGTGGAAGGATGAGGAAGATGGTTGTCCTGTGGAAGGAGGAGGAAGATGGTTGACTTGTTATGTAGTGGGATAATTTTTGCTCGACGACAGAAACACACTAACTATCTTTCAGGTCGTGTGAGGGAGGAGGGGGAATACCACCGGCTTCAGTCTCATATATACGTAAGGTGTGGAGACGTGTGTTGTGTTAGTCACCTTGGTATCGTGTTTTGAGAAGGTAAGTAGATGGCGTTGATAACTCTGTAAGTGGTGGGAGGAAAGAGACTGTCAGAGGGTATTTCATCAAGGAATTGTGTGACGTTATGTGGAGTCGATCAAAGGTCTTGTGTCCGTAACATTGGATTTAATTACTAAATGAGATGTGTGGTAGTAATAGTGATGTGCTGTGTTGAGAAGAGATGTGTGGTGGTAATAGTGATGTGCTGTGGTGAGAGGAGAAGTGCGGTAGTAATAGTGATGTGCTGTGGTGAGAAGAGATGTGTGGTGGTAATAGTGATGTGCTGTGGTGAGAGGAGAAGTATGGTGGTAATAGTGATGTGCTGTGGTGAGAGGAGAAGTGTGGTAGTAATAGTGATGTGCTGTGGTGAGAAGAGATGTGTGGTGGTAATAGTGACTTACTGTGGTGAGAAGCAGGAAACAGTGTAGTGATCATGGTACTATCAGATGGAATAACTACGAATAGAAGCTCCATTACACTCTTGTTCGAAACTGTACCGAACCCATGTGAGATAATACTGAATCATCTATAGGTAAACAAACAGATCGGAATCTCAATGTAGTGAAGGATCTATTGTTTGTGACTGTACGTGTTAGTGTATAGAGTCTGTGACATAACAACTGTGACGGGGATTAATGTGTAATGCCGTAAGTAAATACATAGAAAGTATTGGTAACAAGGGTGATGGTAGTGATGGTGTTATGAAGTGTAGACGAGCTGGTCATTCTACTGGTGTTATGTAGTTGGAAAAGAGTTGTGATTTTTACTGGTGTCGCTTGATGTGGGCGTGAAGGTGGGCGTGAAGGTTGGACGTAAAGGTGGGCGTGAAGGTGGACGTAAAGGTGGGCGAAGGTGGGCGAAGGTGGGCGTGAAGGTGGGCGGAAGGTGGAGGTGGGCGTGAAGGTGGACGTAAAGGTGGGCGTGAAGGTGACGTATAGGTGGGCGTGAAGGTGACGTAAAGGTGGGCGTGAAGGTGGGCGGAAGGTGGACGTAAAGGTGGGCGTGAAGGTGGACGAAGGTGGGCGTGAAGGTGGCGAAGGTGGACGACGTGAAGGTGGAGGATGGGCGTGAAGGTGGACGTAAAGGTGGGCGTGAAGGTGGACGTAAAGGTGGGCATGAAGGTAGACGTAAAGGTGGGCGTGAAGGTGGGCGTGAAGGTGGGCGGGGCTAGACAGTATTACCTGTTGTATGTGACGCCCACCCATCAAGGTCGCCTCTCCGGCAGCCATCACTTTACTTATTATTTTGAGGTTGAGGGAGGGTGAGGGGATGTTATTTTAGCATTATCATCTACCTCCTGCGGCCTCTGTGGCGGGGGGACACTGGGGAAGGATAGACCAGCCACAGTAGGACGACAGCATCCTTCGTGGTCACACTGAGGGCTGGGGATCCTTCACGATGGCTGCGGGTTGAAGGGACCTACTGACCTGGTGACTAATGACGAACTGAGAGCAAAAGTGATCATATAATCTGACTTATTATTTCACCAGGTCAGGTCTCAGCTCACAGCCTCCGTTGAAGATGAAAACAAATAATAACTCAAAAGAATTGTGTTTATCATACTGTGAGTTGGTGAGCTCAGCGGGGGTCTCAAGGTCCGACCTGAATTAAACTTTTATGGAGTAGTTGGCTAAAAGCTTTTATTGACAAAGCATACAGAAGACACCACAGTGATGTATATACACAAATCTAACCCAAAAAAAAAAAAAAAAAAAAAAAAAAAACGGCAAGTGTGAATCAGAAAACTACCCCGCTACCGCTGTTATCCTCTCCCGGTGGTCGAGATCCAAACAAAGGCTTGACAGATACAGTTTACACCAAAGTTAATAACATAAAGGTAATACCACATGAAACCCAAGTTAGACAAAAACATTCACAACCAAATAATTAATCATCACATGGCACCAATAGAGAGAAAGATAAAGTAATGAAAGAGGTGGAGTAACGAGAGAGTGAGAAAGGAGTAACGAGAGAGTGAGAAAGGAGTAACGAGAGAGTGAGAAAGATGTTTAAGAGAGAAGAGAAACAGAGAGAAAAAGAGAGAGAGAGAGAGAGAGGAGCAGGAGAGAGGAAACAAGAGGTTGAGAGAGTCGCCACAGAGAGCACTACAGGTGTTGTTATGGAGGGGAGGTAGGGGGGAGAGGGGTTATTGTGGCAGGCTGGCAGGCGTGAGGGGAAGGTCAGCGACAGCCAATTGTGCACTAGACTCACACTTACCAATTTAGAAAACAGCAAAGGGAGCCAGAGGGAGGAGGGGAAGAGAACACAGTCAAAAGCTATGAATCAGACTCATAAAAATCCAGAAAAAATAAAAAACAAAAGAAAAATATCATACGGCGAAAGGCAGGCTGTTTGAGGGGGTGGGGGAGCATGATGGGGGCGGGGTGCTTGTGTGTGTGTGTAACATTATTGGTCCACAACATATGTTCGTGGGGTGGCTAGGAGGCTCGACGGTATAAATAGATTAATATTTACTCTTAGACTCTTTTAACAGCGGAGGTAAGGAGAGAAGGATGGAGGGGGGGGAGGGTACCAGTTCTGCTTGCCCTTCGCCGTTTATATGACAAATTAAAGAGGTTCCCCCAAAAAATAAATAAATAAACTCGAGTACTCTAGTTACCACAGAATCTAAATAGCTGATAGATAAGTTTGGTTTCATAAAAAAATGAATACTGCATATATACAGTATGTATACAGTATATATGTAAACTGAATAATGTATAATTTGATATGTTTTAAGAGTTATTCAAAAGGGTAAAGCCAAAATATTTTTATTAAACATTTAATTAAGACTTAGATGAGTTTAGGTTGGAGTTTTCTCCCCGTTAGTAAGCAATGATGAGTGTTGTGGGAGCTGGGGCGGGGTGCTGCCTAGTGGTGCTGCTGCTGCTGCTGCTGCTGCTGTGGGCGTCTTGTTGTCAACGCAGTTGATTTTACAATGTGATACATAAATAATAATATAATATTTCAACGTCTTACTCCGTTTACGTCGTTGACGGGACTGACCCTGGCGGCTCTACCCACATCCTACAACACAACGTGTCTGGGGTGTTGTCCTTTCGGCAACACAAGTGGCTGGTGTTACGCCACAAGAACACGCAACACAGGATGAAGACATTCTTGGCTAGCCGCCACCCACCTATATCTGCCTTGAGCCCTGCCGCCCTCCCCTCCATAGCTCACTAATACCCTCACACACCACATACCTATTTCCCGCCACTAAACTTTTGTATCCTACGTGTCGTCTCCTGTTGATGATGTGTGTGTGTGCGTAGGACTCCCTGGTATCCTTCAGTAAAATATTCTATACTAATATCCACCGCTGAAACAACCTCCCCCCCCCCCACCCCCTTACCTCTCTGACGTCATTTAGCCACATGAGTTGTATCGTGGTCCAATGAATCAACAACAGTAAAGTTTACCATTTTGGCAGGAACCTCCGTAACTGTGACGAGCAAGAGGCTATATTTACACGATAGAGTTCTACTGTAACGATAGAGACACCCGCTGTGTTCCAGCCACGACAACGTTAAACTTCCGGTGAAGTGAAGTGTTTCTCCAACAAACGTCTCGTTACTATATACCAGAAAGAATATATTAATGGACAGCTTTGCTTTGTTTATTAAACTCACACCGGGCTAACACTGCTTGTAGCCTCTGTTTGAATAAGTTACTCAGATGATACTTCAGCAACAGTAGCAGTAGAAGGAGTAGTAGCAGCAGCAACAGGAGCAGCCCCGCGTGGTCCCGCCCCCCAGCACCCTGGGAATGGTGTCTCGTGAGGCAGCCGCCCCCCACGGTATGGCAGTACAGTACATGCTATACAGTGCGGCACAGAACTGTGTTACTTTGTATAATACCCAGATTATCATTTTGCATTTTGCATAGCAGTGAGTGTGCGGGTCAGTGTGGCGATACTGTAGTTGGTGTACAGTGAGTGTGATGGAATACTGAATTTTTTGTATTACAGCGGATCAACGATTCAGCGGATATTGACCACGGTACTGCTGTTTATATATATATATATATATATATATATATATATATATATATATATATATATATATATATATATATATATATATATGAGTATCAGTAAATTCGAGGGTTGAGCGCTGCTCCCCTTTGAGTATTACTTGGGTAGCTCAGCTCAGTAGGGCAGTGTGCCGCCCTACTTGGCATCTGTAACACCGGAATAAAACAGTGCCAGAGTATATGACGGTTACCACAGAACATTGCGTCTTGTGAGGTTCATTGTAGACCACCAAGTGACGTGTGTCACGATCACCAAGACGAGGGACACCAGCCAGCAGCCTCGCCGGGTATTATACAAAGTGTGCCTCACTCAACGTGATCAATAGTATGCGGAACTCAAAAACATATAGATATATATTTATATATAAGTTTGCCACAACCAGTATAGTAAGAAGTATGCCACACACAATATGATGTTACGTATGCCAAGTTCAGTAGCAGCCGCCACACTCAGCGTGATACACTCTGCTTCACCGTTATGTATACAATGATAGGCTTAGTATTAGGCTTAGTATGTCACTCTAAGTATGGCGCACTATATGACACTCAGCATTACATACACAATATACTGTTGGACATACTGGAGGGACCAAAGGGTGCCAGTTTGTCAGGGACAAATCAGTAGGTTAGGTATTGCGGAACTGAACAAGTTGGTGTCAACAGAAATACGCCAATCATCAGAGGGAGAGGAGGCACCACGCCCATTAACAACCCTCCCCTTACTCAAGCATTTCGCGCGCCTTTCACACATCACCCACGCCCCTGGCACGCCCACCCCATGCTACCAGTACCCTAGCTTGCCCCATTACGTCACAACCGCGTCGTAGTCGGGTCTCCGGCGTGTTATTAATAAGATGACTAATGGGCCGTCCAAATGCGCATCTCCGTGACACTTGACCGTGGTGCAGTAGACGATCACCCACACTACACTCCATCACCATTAAACTCATCCTAACTATCTGACTTCTGTTTGTAAGGACTTATAGTGACTTTATCGCCGCGTGAAGTCTTTCATAAACTTTGCAGCGGGAGAAGACTCAGTAACTGACAGTAAGAACCAAAGAATTCCTTTACTAAGACAATTTGACATATTTGACCATTAGCTGTATATATAAGAAACCCCATACATATATGACAAGATATTCACTCCCGGTACTTCCCAGTAAAATAACCCAGTGATGAAAATAATTATTCCCATGAAAGGAATCAGACAGTTACGCTTTGGGACCAGACTAAAAGATCGCAGAGATACAATTACAAAGTGGGATTCGGTTGGCAACATAGTAGAGCACTTGAAAATCGACCTCTGAACATAATCTAAGATCATTTATGCCATTATGGTCGGCGTGATAACAATATTTCACTGTAAAAGTTCGTTTACATAACACCAAAAAAGATAAGTTAATAGTAATAATAATCCCTCTTGATCCTGACCGTCTGGGCCACGTCAACGGTACAAACTTGTGGCCTGGGAGGAACAGGTACAGCTAATTTGATCGTTTCCTCTACCTCCACAACACTAACCGGTGGCTCTGCAGCAGGAGCCTCTAATTCAACTGTAAACTCAGCTTCTTGGTTTTGACTTTCTGCGTCCACATAATAGTCGAGGTTTTGAACAGTCCCCGCCGCCAACAAGTAGTGGTCACTGAATTCCTCCAACCTGTTGGTATGGACGCTATACCCTAGGGACCTGCTCCTGCCTGCCGCCGCCCGACTTGCTCTGTACAAATCTTCCTGCCGCTCATATTCCTCCACCGTCAGGAAATTACCGGCACTTCTTTTCCTCAACTGAGGCTTGGGGACAAGTTTGTGAACGACAGTACGATTCTTCTGAGGCTTTTTCAGCTGAACTATCTCGCCTCCGACTTTAAATGTAGTTTTGTTTATCTTCATGAAATCACTATTGAGGTTTTCCTTTTTATTGCTCTGCGTCTTGTCTTCCTTACAGTCTCGCGTTGGTGCTACTGTCCGCTTCCAGCTCCCTGCCCTCTCCCCCTGAATGGAACGTCTTGCCTCAGGTACGATACCTCCCCATGGCGTGGCCTCCCCCTCCTCCTCTCCCCCTATCCGAACGTCCACACTCCCCAGGGCGGCCTCGGACGGCCTCCGTACCTTCTGCTTCATGATTATCTCGTCGTGCTTGGCTTTGGCCGCCACGGCCTGAGACTGTGGCACAAACTGTGGCTCCTTCACCCCCGAGATGTGGTCGTCCTGCATCTTGAGGTGAGAGATGCTACCCACGCCCAGGTCCGCACGCACCTTAGCGGAAGGCTGCACGAGAGGCAGCGTGCGGTAGGGCTGCACGACACAACACACACCACATGAGTGCTCGCAACACCTCACCCACACACTCAGCACCCATCAACAACACCCGGGTCGGGCGCTGTTGAGAGTCCCTTACTTACAGTGCAACACCTGTCCTGTGTAACACCAAAACTCATGCCTTACTATATAACATTGAGGCCCCCAAACACCAGCACTTACAATTGTATTACTGAAGTGAAGCATGCAGCTGGCCTTGGCGGGCCAGAGGTGAGAAGTATATGCAGAGAGAAATGAGAAGAAGGGACTTAGTTTATCATGTGTCACCCATCTGGATGTACACGTCAGATGTACTTCTGGTGTTTGAATAGGCAATCTCACAATAGTTTTATATCAATTATTACCTGAATAGCTAACTATCAATATACTGTATAATAGTTCTACCAGTAACTGCTTAATATTAAGAAAAATGTCTCACAGACATAATAAGAATGCAAAACTTGACAATGCTAAAGTTTCTTCAACTTTTACTACATTTACACTGTAACTGTGAGTTGTCATAAGGATAATACACTTGTGGTCATAGAGATCTAGTACTGTGACATGCCGGGACAAGCTAAAATGTTACAACTTTCTCATGCAATAGCTAGAGTATGTTGATAGTCAAACGGCGTCGCTGAGTCAATAATGGTGTGACATTACTGCAAGTACTAAGATGTCTAGCAGCCACAGACACTCTCACAGAGCCTGAGCGTCATCTAAAGGAAGGAGGGGTAAATGCCCCCAAGGTAGATATAAGATGTGCCCCTCTCTCTGTAGAGTGAGTGAGGAGCAGCGTCGCAGCCACCGTCAGTGTACCTGGCTCTGGATGGACAAGGTCTCCATGTTGTTGGTGGGCTGTTTCTGCGGCCGAGGGAGGTCAGACTTCAGAACGAACTGGGTCTTGGGAAGGGATCTCACGGCCGGGTTCTGGCAGGGAGTACACAAGAGGGTGAGTCATAGGGATCAAGAATACCCGCGGGGGGACCACAGGCAGGGGGCGCCACCTGAAGAAGGTGACTATTGGTCTGAACTAGCAGTTTTAAGTCACTGGGGGCGGGGCGAGAAAGGGGGCCAGAAGTTGCAAATTTAAAGAGGGGGGACTGACCCAATTGAAGGTGAAATGCAAGACTGACGTCAGGTTGTTGGGGGGTGGGGGAGAGGGACAAGCAACTGTTCTGTGGTAGAGGCACGTGCAAGATTTATAACAGTGGGACAAAGACATGGTCGGTCCAGGTGTCAGCCTGAGTCTCCACTACTGTTAGACTGTACTTGTATGATCCCCAAAATAAAGTGGAACAAATGGCACAATGTACTGTATATTTCAGGAAATTATCTGTAGTACATTCATACTGCTCAGTGTCTCTGCTGCTACACACATCACCACCACACACCTCACCCTCACTGTCCAGCTCAGTGAAGCTTGATCATATTATAATAATCAGTTCCAACGATCGAACAGATTATTATGAGAAACAAAATAATGACATATATTTCACATTCTACATCAACATGTGCATCATCCGTAAGTAATTGCCCGCGTAGTTGTAAACACTAGAAACTGTGATTTTAATCACAGGCAACAACTGCTGTGACTTCCACTCGGCCATGGACTGCAGGCTTGTTGCTAAAACACTGATTTATGCCTTATAGAAATTTATTCCTAAAATTTGTTAAACTAAAAACTAACTCTACCATAATGGTGGCCGTGAAGGATGATTGTCATAGATATTATCAATTATGATGAAAGTGGGGTCATGTTATCACGGTTCTTTGGGTTGTGTATTACATTAGTACAGTGTCTCGTTCCCTCAGGCAGGACTGTGCTGGAACAGTTGTGAAAACTCTTACAGAAACTTCTCATATAAGCTGAATGTCCTGCAGCTTCTTTCTGGACTTCATATGTCATCACTAACAAACCTTCGTCATATGTACAAGACTTTAAGAGAAAGAAATATATTAATTCTCCATCAGACTTTGACTCACACACCATCGTTCACTACCACAGTTCGTCACTTATGCTCTATGATGTTGTATCCTGTATAGTAAAACGCAAGTGGAATGGGACCTTTCAAGAGGAGGTAAACAGAGGGAGCGAAGTACGGGAGGTGCACCATCCTCTACACCTAAGGAGCATCAGGGCGAGGCGTTCAGGGTGGTGAGGAAGGGAATAAAATTAACAAAAAGAGTTATCAGGACTAAATCATAGTAACAAGCACTAAGTATGAGTGGATGTGTGGAGAGTTGGTGGAGGAGGAGGGTGTGGTGGGTGGCACTTACCTCGGGGCGCGCCGTTGTGTTGCTAGTGATGCCTGGTAGTGGCACGCCGCCTGAGACTGGCACTGAGACGGGAGGCTGAACCGGGCTGCCGTTGACCAGCGGAGCCGCGGTGGATGCTGCCGCCGGAGTGGGTTGCACGCCCGCCCTGCAACAGTAACCAACATTAATTATTCACTCCTCCCGCCGAACATTAGATAATCTATCGATGGAATCTCTTTTTATGATTATTCAGAGAGCAGTGTGGGCGTGGTCAACCTGGTGTGTGAGTCGTCCGTCAACCAACTGTTTGTGGGAGAGTGAATGTATGGCGGAGGGTTGCCAGTTGGCAGTTATTAAGAACCAGCCCGGGTAATGTGTGCCAAGTATTGGATGGTGTGTGTACTGGCCCGCCCTCACCCGCCCTCTCTACAGCATCCTTCACTACACAACCCTTAAGGCAGCCACTCACACACATTAGTTTCAGGTGAATATTATAAACATTGATATAACAGTTTTAAGGAAAATTTACATCCATGTCCCCCTGATCCCTGGTGTGCCCCGGCGGCGAGGTCCCCACTAGTCTCACAACCAGGACCAGGGAGTGACCAGACTGTCACCACATTCCTCACATATTGGCCAATATGACTCATCACCTGCTCCTCATATCATAGGCCGTAATGGAAGGGTTTGCCTCACCCCAGCAAACGGTGATGCTTTTATAATTAGGTCTAGCTGAGCTCGGGTTGTTAGGGTGGTGGGGGGGGGGGGGTTGACGCACGGCTCTTCTCAGAATACCTTAACAATATTTGGCAGACATTTTAGACTTCTTACCTCCACCTCCGCCAGGGATCACTCTTAAACCTAACTAAAATAATTGTCCCACTTGTGAAATTAATTAACACTAGACCACAAGCATTGTCCCGCTGCCTCCCTCAGATATACTTCATGTTTATACAGACAAATTTAGTGTTTAAAGTCGAAGAGTGAAGTTCTTTGTTAGTCCGTGATTCTTGGATCTCTTAAAAGAGCTTCCCGTATATGATAACTTGTTGTATTAGCAAATTATACAACGTGAGGTGAGGAGGAGTAGGCCGCCCACCAGGTTACCTCCACGGGAAGCTACAGGTATCACTTGACAGGAGGGACCCGTGACACACACTCCACGCCCGCTAGCTCAGTGATCCTCCTCATACCCACTGGGAGGAACATAAGTCATAAGGAGGTGGGCGCCAAGTAGTGAATGGCGGGTCAGGTACTACATACAGTAGACTAATTAATTATGAGAAGTGACGGCTGAAGCTTACCTGTGTGTGTGTGTGTGTGTGTGTGTGTGTGTGTGTGAAACTTAAAACAATATATCTATCAAAAAATATTAAACACAAGTGATAACCAAATATAACAGTTATCCTGGTAAATAAACAAATAAACAAACAAACAAACAGTAATCTCATATTACCCGTGAGTCACCAGAGGAGGCAGTTGGTCAGGTCTGCCAACGACTTTGTGTATAATTCTCCCGCCCCTTCTCCTCCTCCTCTGTCTCATGTCTCACGAAAAGTAAATTATTATATTTTATTCTTATTCAGTGAGAAGTGACTCCCAGCACAAGGCCGTGCAGGTGTATGTAGTCTCGAGTATTGGTGTTTCATATACCATCTTGTTCGAATCTGTACCGAACTCAGACGAGATACAACAGTACCATCAATGGATAGACAAATTGTTCGGAGACTCGTTCTTGTAGTTCGAGGTCTCAGGTGTAGTTCACAACAACATTAATACTCCTTGGATAATTACGCTATGACAGAACAGTTACCCGAATAAGTCGAGTAAACACAACGTTAGCGTAAATATGATAAAACGTAAATAACTTTAACCTCAACAATAACTAAAAGATGCAGAAACAATATCCATATCTAAGAGGCTTCAGGAAAACGAATAACTCTTTGAAGCAACGGAACTGAGGCTTCATCATGACTGACTACTGACTATCCAAGGTCATAAGTTGAAGCAAGTCAGAGGTAGAGATCAGTACTAAGACAGGACAGTATGTGTGAGGGTGATCAACTAACAGGCGGTGTTCATTACTGCCGTTAAGTGAGGACCAACAGAAGAGGAAACTGTGTGTGATATAAACTTTTCTTTATACATGAGAGGATGAGCCACGTGTATTGAATTCCACAGCGAAGTCATCTTTTGTTTTGAGAAGACTACAATGGTAAGTAGATACTAAAACAACAGTTAAAATTTATCTCTGGAAATGAACTCTATATAATGATAAAGTGTTTTCTGGGTGTAAAAACTTAGATCTGTGGAAGGGACGAGTTTAAAGTCTCCGGTAGTGACACAGGAAAATAGGGGATTTTTATCAAGTACTTACAGAATATATTGTAGTGTATATTATTTTAAGTGTATTGATCAAGAAGTAATTACCTACATGTTCCTGCTATTCGTGAGGTGATTCAAAAAGTAGAGAAACCCTGATATAAGAAGGTGATAATAGGCATAATGGTGAATAACAAGTGTTGATAGCGACAGAGAGGGAACCAGAATACGTATTAAACACACCCACACAGTGAACGATGCCTTTAACGCGTGGCCACAGTGTACAAAGTGGATTTTTAACATTCTTGGGGATTTACAAACATTCATAACAGTTCACTGTATATACTCAGGTGTGTTGTCAAGATCAGGAGCGACACGAATCTTTGGTACACAGTCTGTGATCATTCCTCCAGCCTTGTCTGACGTATTAACCTGTGGACCTAACTAAAACATACATCCCTACAATGTTGAAATGATAACACGTATTGTACGGCTAATGTTGGTAAGGAACTTTACTCGAGTCAAGGTCAATAACGTGTGGGAGAATGTCAGCAGGTGCCGCCGTAGTAAGGGAAGCCACTGTAGGGTTGATTGATGATAGAGTGTATTTGCCGACCACACTGACTGCCGTATGACACAAAACTCGAGTTGGTGAAATACCTGCACCTCACACCGCATCAAAGACATATTCTCGTGTCTTTTAAAGCGTATTAAGGTTGTGTAGTGGTGACCTTCTTTTATATACAGTTCACATATTACAAAACAAGATGTAATATTGTTTGTCCTTGGAATATCTGATGTATTAATCAACGTACTTCCTCATGCGAAGCCAGCCATTCGCCCTGTCACATCCTCGCTCCTCACTCTTATGCAATGATGAGGTGACCCACATTACAATTCGCTTACCATGACTGTCGCCTCATCTTGTTACCGCTGACTATAAACAGAATGACCAAGCATACACACGGACAGGTAATACGCTTACTTACCATTACCTCTCTCCGTGTTTCTTGTTCCCCCAAGTGACAAAATGTAAACATGTCATTGGCTTATCGACACAATATGGAAGAAAATTACGTTTTTTATACACAATAAGAACACCAACTAAATTAACAGTGTATAGTATTTTAGAGAGTTTATTTATATTCAAGAAATTTAAGAACGGCTAAGAATAAATTTGATATTTTTCGTAAAGGAAATACAGGTGATATTACACAACATCCTCAGGTGTATTAGAAGTTAAAGACACGTAAATAATGTAAACCAGTACTTAATGTTTCTAAGAATAAGTCACTAGCAAAATTATACCGTATTTGTTTATTATCCTTATTCATCTTTATCTCAGTGTCTTTCATCCATTCTTTCCTTCCATGTACTCTTTATCACCTCCTTTTAGCCAGGATAGTTTCCCCAATACACGAGACAAACAGGATTCCAATTACGTTACCTTGACTCCTACCAACATCACTCCCCCAACCGTGTATTAGAGAGTGATTTATGGTGGATTCCTTTAGCGATTTCAGATATGTAAGGGATTATAACTCGGGATTTATCATTGAATTCATGTTTAGATTGACGGAGTTGGGTTTGGTTAGGGGGGGACATTAACTCTTCAATAAAATCAGTGAAACTATGGTGAGATGTGAGGAGGGTGTGTGTGTGAGATGTGTACAGGGTGTGTGAGATTTGTGGGGGGTGTGTGAGATGTGTATAGGGTGTGTGAGATGTGTGGAGGGTGTGTGAGATTTGTGGGGGTGTGTGAGATGTGTATAGGGTGTGAGAGATGTGTGGAGAGTGTGTGAGATGTGTATAGGGTGTGAGAGATGTGTGGGAGGGTGTGAGTGATGTGTGGGGGTGTGTGAGATGTGCAAAGGATGTGTGAGATGTGTGGTGGTTACTCTAGTATTGTTATCATCAAAGTCCTCGGGTTAAGGCAAAGGTCTCTGCGGTTTCATCACCTGTCTAGTAAATGAAACTCACTTATAAATAAATAAATAAATAAATAAATAAACAAACAAATAAATAAATCACACGTCGAGAATATATACTTGAAAATTTACATATAAAAAATTGAATAAACTCCTTGTTTTGGTGCAGTGACTGAGGTCGGCCAGACGGGTCTTATAACTGTACAAGGCAAAGATCCAGTAGGAGAAACTTTACCTCGTCCATAGCCTGAGGTAAGAGCCAGATGTGTCCACTATTTCTCTCACGCTCACAGACTAGTCAAAGAGCTTATACCATGTCAGGTCTCTTGTCTAAAAAAAAGTGGTTTCTCATAGTGGTATCATTATGACTTCTTTTGTTTTGATGCTGGACTGTTATTTATCAGTTTATTGTGATGAAAACAGCAGTTATTTGGTATGGTAAGGTTAACGTGTGATGTAGAATTAGTGTGTGAAAAACAATTACGTGTGAAAAACAGATGAAGAATATATAGATTTTTGTGTGTGCTGTGAACTTTGATGTAAACGGGTGATGGGCGTTTGCTTGTGAGATAAGTTTTAATGATGTGTGAAGGGAATGTGTGGAGATGTGTGGGGGGGTGGGAATGTGTGGAGATATGTGGGGGGTGGAGATGTGTGGGGGGGTGTGTGAAAATGGGTGGAGGGGGTGTGGAGATGAGCGGAGGGAGTGTGGAAGGAGGCGATCTATTTCCGGGAGGGGTAGTTGGGTTGTGTGCCCAGACCAGGTGAGACCAGGTGAAGTTTGTTCTATCATTCTCTTCGTCTATCCTCTTCTTCTTCACCCTTTACCCTCCTCTCATCTTCCCCTCTTCATCTACCCTCCTCTAACCCCTCCTATCCTCTCTTCTTCTCTTCTCATTCTCACCTATCCTCCTCT